GGGGGGAGGTGCATAAAGGAGAAATAAAGGTTAATTTGGTATTAAATGGTTTGGATACAGTGGTGTAGGTTACTAGACTGATTGTCATAAGGGATCGAAATCTACTAATATGTCTTTATATATATTAACATCGATCGTACAACATCGTCACTATACCAGCTAAGAATGTCGTGACCCAATGGTTGACGTCATAACTGTAACATTGAATGCCGTTGACCCCCGGGACAGATGACTGTTCTGATTATTGAAACAAACAATGGTTAACTTAAGGAATGTAACTGCATTCAGTTGACATTCATAGGGTAGCGCGTTTACTTGATTTTTTTTTTTTTTTTTGCCTTTTTACTATTGTCATTTATATTGCCTATATATGCCAACTGAAAGCAGTTCAATGCTTAAATGACGTCATCGATACTTATGCTGCGGCAAACGTAATAAATATCCCCTGATATTCCACAAGATTCATATGACTTTTCATCCATTACCTGTAACATAGTTTGTCGATACATATAGGATCTTACATGAGTTTCCATTTCATATGAGATTTATGAAATGGAAACTAAGAATTTTTCAATTTGGCGAGCCTATGGCGAGCTAAAATAAAAAAATTCGTGACCAGTTTCAAAAATTCCATATGAAATGAAAAGAGTGTAAGATTCTTTTTTTCACATAATCAAGATTTGTGACATTTATTCGTGTAAAACGACAATTTTCATGCACCCTTGGATTTTAAAAAGCCGCCATTTTGACTCCAGTGAGGAAGTCTGTGACGTCATGTACTTGTCCTAGGCGTGACGTCATAATCAAAACAATTGAAACTTACAACCAATCACAGGGCTGATGGGTCATATTATGTACATGGGTTAATACACAAAATATGACATGGGCATATTCACTTGATAGCACAGTACATTATGTGATAAATATAATTATTAACTTGAAAAAGTAAAAATAAATATCGAAGAGTTCAGTTTATTGAATTTATTTACTTGTTGACAATTTTGATAGCATTACGAAGGGGAAATACAATCCGCTGTATATTCATGTGAACATACAATGTAAAATCTCACAATGGGGTGCTGATTTGCTACTGATGATATAGCTATTTATCAGATAATTGAAATTTTAAAATAATTTATTCAAGTCGTTATGAATTTTGTAAATAATTCGAAATTCTATGACAATTAATCACAGGTCGGGATGTTATAACACATCAATTTAAAAATCCTTTATATTCTTCATTGTTTGCATGTAAAAAGAAATTATGTTCTGTGTTAGTCATTGTCAATTCTGAATAATAAGGTTAACGGTTGTATATTTAAAATGAAAATAAAAAAAAAAAATAAAAAAAAAATATCTTAAAATAAACTAAAAAAGCATCTATATCAATATATCATTACTTTAAATCATAGTGTTCGAACGAGTATTTTTCACAAACAAATTGAAAAGGCTTTATCATTTTGACAGGGATATGGACAGAACTGATAAGGTTACTGTGTTTTTTGTAGACGACAGACGGCTGAGGAGCGGGAGGCGGAACGTCAGGCGGCTAATCGGCTGATGATAAGTCTACAGGCGGAAGCCAACAAGACAATATATGACATTCGAGACCCCTTGTGCATGAGCAATTCTTCCTTACATGCACTTCAAAACCTTCAGCCATGGGTTGACGATTCTTCCCGGGGTGACCAGTGATTGATGACGTAGAATATGACGCAGGGAAATATCACCAAGTGAGAGAAATCCCGAAGTGATAATTTATTGAGGAAAGTCCCCAAGTGATGAATAGTATAAGGGAAGCTCCGAATGGAATTAAATGTCCGTGACGATCGGAGCGCCTTGTCTCCTATCTGAATTCTGTTTCGGATAGAGAGATAGTGTGATCTGATTCCACAGAGAGAAAAAAGGACATCCCGATTAACGAAAAGGTCATTCGCCAGTGACTTCAAGATGCATTCGACCGTAGCGTTAATTTATTCTCCACCGTGACGTCATTATTGGTCATACTGTTTGGTTGAAGAATCTACTCACTTTACTCAGGATGTTAAGATAACTAACAACCTCACCTTGTCATATGATATAGTACTGCAGGGATTGTGTTGGATGATGGGCTATCCCCACGTGACGTCGTAAGGTCACGTGTCCCGACGAACACCATTAAACATGCACGTGTTCACCTCTTCCTTTGTCAATACCTGTGTTGTCATCTGATTTCATTGCAAACACTATACTAACAATGACTTTTGCAAACTATAAATTCAAATTTATTCGAAATGTTTCGTGAACTATTACGTTTTATTCAGACAGACTTAAGTTAAACATTTTCTTGCACAAAAAAAAACCATTTCTCTCAGTATTACAATGTTTTATTGTTTCGTTGTTCTGTGGAATGCAGAGGAACGCCATTTTCCGATGGTGGTCATACCTGTATAAACCTAGAAGGTATATTCAAGGTTACAATGCATCATTGATTTCATTTCAATGTTGACTGTTACATAATTCAAATTCCTTACCAGATATCATTATTTTGCTATTCCGCACGAGTTTTCGCAATTATTTTCTTATAATAAATTATCAAGATAGTAAAAAAATATTTCAGTCCATTTTGAATCAAATTAAAAACAACGATAGAAGGGAGATAAAAAAATACCAATGCATCTGTATTTAAAAGATATTGGTCAAGTCATATTATGCATTTGAAGAGTGCTATCAATAGATAATCCTTGCTGCGTTTTGCAAATGTGATACCATTTATGTGTCAAAAAAGTATTTGCATATACTCTGAGTAATTTATATTTTGTACTTGAGTAAATGAACCACTCGGTATGGTATTAAAGTTGTTGATAATGATGTTTTTATTTAGCATACTCAATATTTATCTCCTTGTTGATGAATAACAAAGGTTTAAACAATCCATACGGGTGATGCTATTAGAAGTAGTATTATATTGATATACATTTTTGTATAATATTCTCCACATACACATTCAAATAACTTCGTCATCTATTAATGTTTTATTAAAATTTATTTTCTTTAAATGCATAGTACAGCGAAGGATATTTTTTAAGTGGATTGTATTTTTTTCGACATGATATTATTTGTAATTTCATTTCAAACTTAATTTAGAGCATTTTTCTTGCACAAAAGAACAACTGCTAAGAACCAACCATTGCTTATACAGTAAAACCTCGATATAATGCTTCCCGTTTCTTTTGCCACTTCGTTTACCGCCAACATATTTCAATGTCCCTTTTTCTCGTTTACTGAAGAATTACTTTATACATTTCCCTCAATTTTTCGCCAACCCCTTTATAACGCCAAAATTTCCTTGGACAAATGATGGCAGTATAACGAGGTTTTACTTTACATATTTAATCACTTATTCACAAACTGAAACAAAATTTACAATCAAATATACATTCTATAACTATAGAATTTGTGAAATATTACCTATTTAGAGTAATTAATACAATAGGCATCACTGATCGTGAGAAACCGCTCCATATATAGGTTAAGGTATACTGATGGCTAGCTCAGTTGCCGTGCACTACTCTTGCGGAATCACCGCAACTTCTCAACACTGTTTGGCAAGAGGAGCGAGCGTTCATCTGGACTAGGATGGAAACAGCAAAGCTCGTAAATTGTTTTAAAAAGGGACTGGAAGGATGGAGCATGGTACGTTTTAGATCATGACATTTGGCAATCGGATTGACCTTCTCCTTACGGAGAAAGATTGTGCTGAAAGGACATATACAACAATTTCACAGTTTTCCAAGTAATGATGATGAATGATCAGAAAATGCGCTGACGGTCCTAGTAGCTGTTGGTCTGAAATTTAACATAGCTGGAACGCTATATAAAGCCGTGCTAATCTTGGCATGTAGAAATTTATATATTTATTTATTCTCTTCGATTTAGTTTTCACAAACAAAATGTGTCTTTGTTTAATTATCACGAAAAGGCGACAAATAACAAATGCATATTAAATTTTCATATTTCTGTTTACAAATGTACTCGAATGAATTCAGGGAAATGAGTATTTACATTCTTCTGAAAGAAAAACTTACATTTAAAGATATGTAACCATGTGTAGTAAGTACAGTTCTAAATTTCCGTATAGTCTTATTATATTTCAAAATATGATATGAATGCCTAAACTTCCACAGTGTTTAGAAATTGTGAAATTACTTATCATACAAACATATTTCTTTAACAAAGTAATCTTTTTATTTATGACTTATAACTGCCGATTTAGGTTAACCATAACGGGTTATATGTTTGAATGCGTCCTTGATCTAGTCTTTATGCCGACATAAATGGTCTACAAATCTGTAGTCTTCTGGGTCAGACGATAGGTAGGGGGTAATGAAATGTTTTAGCGATGGTCGGCATGGTAACGATTTAAGAAAAATAACTCAACGCTAGAATGATGAAATTAATGTCTGCTTTTAAGAAAACAAATAATTAAGAACAAAACCATCAAAATATTTATAGTTTAAGCAAAATGTTATCAGTTCGATATTCTATTCCTCAAAATGTCTATGGAGAAATCATCTATTTATGACATAATATATTGAAAAATGCATTGTCCAAACATCTGCTTCCTTCAACACGCACGGAGTTCTCAATCCTCAAAGACATAACGTGTACCATGTAAGCCCTCCTGCAGCGCTGCCGGTCAGGATATTTTCCAAAATAATACTTTTTCTTCAAAATTGCTGGGGATAACTTTGACAATTTCACATAAAGGTCCTTCATCTATAATTGTCTTGTATGAATTAAGTGGATATGACGTAGATTTATTAAGATAAAGAAAACGTCTCGTGCCTGTACTCAGTGGCAAAATGGTTGGATTCTTTATCTTAGCATCAATTATATCAATGGTTTAATTATGTTGAGTTCTATAATATATTGTTACACTACATGCAATTAACAGAGAGACACAAACTTTTATCAATCGTGATATAAAAAAGTGAGCTGTTTTTTTCAGCACCTTTAAAATCCTTTTCTCGCTGATAGCAAAAACGTTGAAGAAGTCCACTTAAGTTTTTGTATTTAGAGTAACCTCCCCTTAATTCGTTTGTGCGATATAACTTAAGTGCGCCTATTCCGTCTTTTCGTATTGCAGAGTTATCTACTCTTGATACCAGGTATTGATTGTTACATCATTTGTTTGTGAGAGTAACGTCATCATTTTTTGAGAAAACGACGTAATTTTCTCACACAAACTAATGACGTAACAATCAATACCTGCTCACAAGAGCAGATAAATCTGCAATACGAAAAGACGGAATACAAGGGTACTACCGTTGACTTACAGTTTCCAACTGAGAGACAGTTCAGGGTTTGAGTCTTTGTTAGGCCCTGCTAATTTGTTCACACTCAGAACTCTGTTGTTTGTCTCTTTTGTTTATTTCCTTGTTTACTTTTTTTTCTTCTTTTTGTTTTAGTTCCTTTTTTATATTTTTTCATAAAAGTCCCTTAAGGTATTGATTTTTTATCCTATTCAGAAATGATCGATCGAAGCCAAAGTCATGTAGAAAAACAAATTCCTATACAGTGTTTGGCAGTTGTACGGGGATCATTTAAATGAATTCTGTACTCATCACATATTAAATTATTGTCAAATTAACACATGCTCACTTACCTACTTATCATCATCCGCGATACTCCTTGGGTTACGCGCACTCTTGCTCTCTGCACCCCTGGAATATGTCATAGCAAAATCGAAGGCACGAAGATAGCTTTTTGGTTGCATTTTTTGGTCTCGGGTAAAAAAATATCTGACCAATCGCTAGGCTGATGCCTGTCCTTTGAAGATTTCAAAGGAGCGACACCCGACTTCAAAGCAAGTCATTGTTTACCGCTACGTGACCGCAAGATTCTTTTGATGTACATCTAGGGACCGATCTTGTCTTCTTGTCTCATCAACAGGGTGGCACACACTGAGCCTTCAGAGTTGTTTTGGCATATTCCATGGGTGCGGAGAGCGTAAGTGAGCGTAACTCTTGGAGTATCGAGGATGACCTATCATAGCTGCTATAACATTATATATCATTTATTATTATCAAATACTTTATCGGTACAACTTTGTTATAGACCATTGAACAGTGGCATCCACGTGTTCTATAATTCGAGATAGTATTCGATTTACCATAAATATATTAAAATAAAGGAAAAACAATCCAGTCAATGGATAAGTTTTTTCATAGTATTACTTACTTCACGTTATGTCGTGTACTTAAGGTAGAGGGTACCACTGCATCAGCTACAATCTCGAAGAAGAGTTCCAGTCGGAGTTATTGTGACTTGCGTGTTCTACCTCCCTCTGTCGAGTTATTCAAAGGCGTTGCTACCAATGAAGTTCGTACTTTATTTTCATGTTTTGCTGTAAAAATTCCCGTATGACAACATTTGCAATGTGTATGATTCTCTAATGTAATATTACGAGTTCAACGCATACCTTTTTTTTTTTTTTTTTTCTTTCCAAACATCCGTGAAATTTCGAACAACAAACAATTCTGTAAAATTCATGTAAAACTGAGTTTTTTAAGGATTAAAAAAAATGGGTTTTAACAAATAGTTCACATCGCGACAATGAAAATAATGCAGTTTAACTTGCTGTTGCCCTTTACCTTAAAGATGTATGTACAAAACCGCGGAAACATAATACTCATTGAGACATTAAAACATGAGACAATATGCTTTTGAAAAGTATGAATATAGCACCATGGTTGTGAAATATGGAGTAAAATGATTTACCAAAAGACTTGCTTAAGATATGTAATACAAGTGTTGTGCATTGTCTCTTTATGTGTATGGCATTAAAAAAGAATTCAAAATGTTATCGATGAATAATTAAAGATATTTCCCTCTTGTATTGATGCGTTTTTGATTATTTATTGCTAGATGAATCATATTTAAAAGCTTTTGCAGAGAAAAACGTGTTGCTTCAAATGAGACATTAACACGTGTTTCTATTGTAGTACAATTCATGTAATATGTTACTTAAGGGCAATCAATTTAGGTTAAGTCT